GGTAAAGACTTGAGAGAGAGACAAATTGTATACGGAGAAAAATGGTCAAGAAGAAAACTTTAAATTCTCTGACTTCAGTGTCTAGAGGGTACTAAGAGACAGAGAGAAGTAGAGGAGACAGAAAAAGCAGGAGACTAGGCTAGGGTGGTGACAGAGAGAATTTCTCGGGTGGCAATCCATGGTGTTAATATCTTAAAGAGACTGAGGAACATGAGAAACGAAGAAGCGCGTGAAAACAGTCATCATATCCATGATAACCTAGGGTGGCGGAGTCATTCATGTCATTTTTCTGAATTTTTGAGATTGGTGTTCTTAAATTCATAGTGTGCATTTCAAAAATCATGCCCTAGGTTCCTTTCCAATCGTGCATGTGCTGACTCCAGCCAACACTCTCAAGGACGGCCTGCCTTCAAATAATTCAACAGTACTTAGGCCCAGCACAGTGGCTCACGCGGTAATTCCAGCACTTTGGGAGGCTGAGGTGGGTGGATCACTTAAGGTCAGAAGTTTGAGACCAGCCTGACCAAGCATGGTGAAACCCAGGGCGTCTCTCCTAAAAATACTAAAAGTAGCCGGGCATGGTGGTGCACCTGTAGTCCCAGCTACTCGGGAGGCTGAGGCACAAGAATTGCTTGAACCCAGGAGGCGGAAGTTACAGTGAGCCGAGATCACGTCACTGCACTCCAGCCTGGGCGACAGAGTGAAACTGTGTCTCAAAACATACACAAAAACAAAAGCCAAAAACAGTATTTGTTGAGTAGTTTCATTTGCCTCCCTTTGATTTCAGGTCCCGCCTCTGCTGAGAGGCCAGTGGCATCACTCTCATTTCTCCCCAAGACCTTCCTTACCTTGTTAGGCAGAATTCCATGTTCTCAAAGAGTGTTTTCCAATCACGTCCCTTCCATTAAAACCTACCCATCCTGTGCCCCATCGGCTTTTAAACGAGCATTGATTCAGCATCTAAGGTGAATGATTTGAAGGTACATGTCCTAGGTCTGTCCCTAAAAAGGAGTTCACAGCAGTGAGTGGTATGGACATGTTCACAACTACCATAAAAGGCTAAGTAAATGTGCTCTGAGAGTAGAAAAACAGAAAAGGAGAGTTTAATTCCAAGAACAAACAATTTATTCTGTTAAAAGTCAGTCTGATAAACTTACTTGAGCTGCTAAACTTATTTGATGGCTGAAAAAGCCAAGGTGAGGATGACGTTTATATATATATTTTTTTTTTCTGAGACGGAGTCTTGCTCTGTTTCCCAGGCTGGAGTGCAGTGGCGCGATCTCGGCTCACTGCAAGCTCCGCCTCCCGGGTTCCCGCCATTCTCCTGCCTCAGCCTCCCAGGCAGCTGGGACTACAGGTGCCGGCCACCACGCCCGGCTAATTTTTTTTTTGTATTTTCAGTAGAGAGATGGGATTTCACCATCTTAGCCAGGATGGTCTCGATCTCCTGACCTCGTGATCCACCCGCCTTGGCCTCCCAAAGTGCTGGGATTACAGGAGTGAGCCACCGCGCCCAGCCGATGACGTTTATAGTTAACTAGAGGGTTTTTCTTTTTTCTTTTTTTCAGCTGTAATCCAAGGTAGTAAGCAAACTGATAATTACGGCATTATTGTGAAGACAATATTTGGTTAAGGGAGAACTTGTACAGAATTTCTTAAATCAAAGTAGGTGATCACCCAATTTTTTATATAAAGCTATTATTTCTGTTTGTTTTTTAGTCTATGCTTCTCTTAATTTCATTTCTTTGCTGTTTCTTCCTGCTTCTGCTGCTTATAGTAATGAGCTCAGAGTGAATGTTTAACACATATGTGCTGCAATCACCTGAATTTGCCAAATTTTCTTATCAATTTTTGTTATCAATTGCTGTTCTTTACCTTTTCTAAGACCAAGACCTCCTCAACTTGCCTGACTTTAGATAGACTTCTTCCTTCCTCTAGGCTTCTGACCTCTGTTTTCTTACAGCATTTACTTTAGAAAACTTTTCATTGTAAATTCTTTCTCTGCCCCTTTGAGATGTAAATATCTTGCCAAGTTTACAACCCAGGAATGTCTTTCTCAAGAATGTGGGTGCCAGCCCTTTGAAATATAATCATTGAAGGAGGTATCACCTCTATCTCCAAGTCTTATCGAGAGGGTAGAAGCCTAACTGTTAAATGTGACAATTAGCAAACAGATGGCCTAATCACATTGACCAATCTCCTCCCTGAAGTCCTCCAGTATTTTTCCCCAGTGCTTAAAAGTCCTTCCTGCCTTTTGTTCCAGGGAAGTTGAGTTCAGTCTTTCTTCCCTGTTGCAATAGTCTTGGATAAAAGTGTTCCCTGCCTGTTTAACTCTGTCCATTAGAACTTTTCTTTCACATTTGCAATTTCTAAAGCAAAGAATCTCATTGGCACTTTCTTTTGTTGTTTTTTCTTTAAATATTTCTATATAATACTTAGATGAGAAGATTTACAAGTCTAGTCCTTTTTGCTCCCTGTCTAGAAAGCACAAGTTCCTAGAAGTTACTTTTCGAATCTTGATGTCAGTCTTCTCTGATAAGGGTTTCCTTTCCTTTCTTTGGTGTGCTGCTGATACAGCTGGAATACCCATATATTTTTCAACCATTTAACACATTCTCAATGATATTACCTTTCTCTTTTGTATGACAGTCTACATGTCAAAATCAATTGCTCCCTTTGAAACCAGCCAATTGTTTTATCCAGCAGAATCCTACTTATTGTGGATGTGTCATACTTAGTGCTGATATAAACATGTTGCTCAAACTAATGAATTGTTAAGGTTAGACATGTTTAGCTGTTTTTGCCAACATTTGATTTGGAACACCCAGGGAGGAAAGATACATATTTGTTTGGCTTGTTTATCTATTCTGACCATTAATCACAAGAACTCATAGAACTAATAAAGCTGCAAGACATCACTGTAATGTTTCTATGAAAAGATAAACTTATAATTTGGGAACTGAATGCACGATTTTCCTAAGTCTCTGTCACTTGAAAAAAAATTTAGAGTTGTCTTATTTCTGTGTCTCCAAAAACCATATTGAGCTTTCTTTGAGTTGGACAATTTTAATTCAATAAACATTTATAACGTGTGTATTTGTTTGAGCCAGGCACTATATCAGGTTCAGAAAGCATTGGGATACGTAAACTCAAAGGATTTACAAAATCATGAAACGAGCATACTTTTATAGTTCTTACAGTGTGCTGTCTGATGCAGTCTTTAGTGTTATAATGGTAAGTTCAAAGATTTCCCCCGAGATTTTATTGCCTTTTTAGGGTAAATATTTTTTTCTACTGTGTCTGAGAAGATATTGTCCCATGATGTACTCTTGCCTTTTTAATACAAGAATGTGCTGTTGGAGGATACCTGTGCTGCTTTGGATTTTGTTTAGATGGACAGGCACTCACTAGGCTCCTTGCTCTGTTGGATTTGTAACTGCACAAAGGCCACAATTCCAGGTGAAGACACAGTACCACACATGGGGTCTAAGAAATTGCAAGGCCTGGCTGAAACTCTCCCAAACACTCTAAGCACATTTCTAAAAGTGGAAAAAGCAAGGAACACGATTGAGATTCCCCACATCAATTTTAATTTTCTTTCCTCTTTGTTAGTTCTAATGCTGTCTTGGTACCACCAGATTATTGGGGAATGATAAAGGAAAATATGAATCTTATTATCTGGGACTTAACTTTTTCTGTTCTGACCCTCATTCTTGCCAATCCCTTTCAATCTTTAGTAGGAACCTAATTTTGTCTACTGCCTTCTTAGGGAAAAAGGCTTACCACTCACTCCTGCTCATCCTCATTCCATATGCAGGAAGAAGAGATAAAAAGACATGAAGAGAACCATGCTTTTTCCTTTACAACATTCAACTTGAGATGTGTGGTCTTCCCCCTAATGTCAAGTTCTTTTTCTTTATGAAAAAGAAAAATGGTCTACAAGGGAGATGCTACCAACCAATTACTTATACAGCAACTGTGCACTTACATAAACCAATAGCCTTTATTGAATAGATTCTTCACTGGAGTCAGTAACTTAGTTTGGGTTCCCTTGTGTAGCAGGTCACCTCTAAGCTCCCTTTATCTTTTATTTTCCTTAGTATTTTTTAAAAAACCAGTTTGCAGAATAGATTCTCCTCATGTAGAACATGAAGTCTGAATGACAGTTTATAGTTTGGTCCAGTAATTGTGCCTAACTTCTCCTTTCCACGTAAACATATGATATCACTTCGCAGGGAAGAAAGTCAATAATTCATTTCACAAATTTTATCTAGAGCCTACAATATGCCAGCTGCTATGACAGTGCAGGGGGATGAACACAGACTTTAAAGTTTAGTGGACTGTATTAATGTCAATACTAAATAGTGTTTATCAAGTGTCTGTGTATGTGCACATATGTGTGAATGTAAATATAGAGGTCTATAAACATTTTCTTCCATATAAAATACACAGTCTAATAACAAATTAGGATGAATTACTGACTAACTGAACTCTTGCCAAGTAAGAAGTAAAAAAGGCCAAAATGTACACTTCATGAAAGGGACTTAGGATCCAAGGAAAAGTACAAGTATCATAAAGATAAGTGGTTATTTCTAGCCTTTCCATGAGTATTCAATGGAAACTACAGGGTGTTCCTTAAAAGATCCATACTTACTCATCTCTGCAAACAGCTGTCTTCTTTCTGCCATGGTATTTCCTCTTTTCCCACTATCTTCAATCATTCTATGAGACAAAATGGTTACAACACATATTATCCTCACGCTATTGAGGCAAGAAGCCATTTCTCTGTAAACATACTTGCTGTACTTGTGGCACAAACATATAGAAAACCTATTGAAAACCATTTGTTTTAAAAAGTACAGCTTTACTTTTACTAACCTAAATTGCTGCACATATTTTTCCATATATATTATTGTTGTAGTTGTTGGAGGGGGTATAAAATTTTTATCGTCTAACATAAAAGTAACTACTGTAGCAAATGACCTTGTGCTATAACTAAATACAACCATCTACCATCTGTTAGGTGATTTGTTTCACATTCAGTTTCTCTTTCAATTTTAAGAATACCTAAGACTGGAGAACAGATATTGTGGATCCCATTCAACAGATGATGAAACCAAGAGTCTCATGAACTTGGTGAATGAAGGATGCAGACGTTTGGACTCTAAGACCATTATGGCTTCCATCTCATCCTGTTGCCAGTTGTTCCTTATGCACTCAAAACCTCAATTTATAAACAGGTAGTTTTCTAAATGTTCATTTCTAAGTTGAGTGTTTGGAACTTGCAACAGTTCCTGTACATAACAACTCCATGCAAGGTGGTTAGATTCAAATATCTTTCCTTAACCATACTATTGTCTGCAGTGGAACTATATAAAATATACTATTAAAATGCCAACAGTTAAAACACAGAATTAAAATATGATAGAAAAAATTAAAATTAAATAATGAGAAAGTTAATGGATATGTTTAGTCGTGTAGAGGGCTTTGGGCTAAATATCAAGAGTTTTAGAGGTTGATGGATTTGACTTTTTATTACATCTAATTAAACTTTTAAAAACCAAAGTTTCCTCTCATGTGCACATATATAGATGCACATGTATGTCTACCACACTGACTTCTGCCTTGATTCTCAGGCATAGTTAACAAAAGGTGTAGTTGCATGGGTTTTTTTTGCCTGTGCCTCTATGGCCTCTGCTCTTTCTCAAATCTAGGACTTTGTCTATGCTCTTTTCTGACAGGATCGTCTTCTCCCTATGCCAAGCCAACTTGCTGTCACCCTCAGCAAGGTGAGGTGTCAAATCTCAGTTTGTCTATCTTCCTCTGAAATCTTCCCCAACTTTCTACAACTGCCTGGGTTCGGTGCCTGTCCTCTGCATCTCCACAGCATGCATTGCCTTTCAATTCTGAGCACTCACTCAACAAACAGCACGTTCACCACAAAAAATAAGTTGGTGAGGTGATGGATATGTTAATTAGCTCGACTGACTTTTCCTACAATGTATACAGGGATCGACACATTACATTGTACCCCATAAATATACACAATAATTATCTACCAATTAAAAATAAATGAATGAAAATAAAACAAGCCTTTACTGAGTGCCTTTCATACTCCAGGAACCCTACTACACTTTGAGTGCCCCACAGCAATCAAGCCAGGATCACACTGTCCTATGAGCACATCACAGTGATCAAGTCAGGACCCGCTGTCCTCTGAGTGCACTACAGTGATCAAGTCACAGTGCTTGTCCTCAAGGTGCTTATACTGTAGTGGTAGAGATACAGAAGCATAAAAGCAATTAAGACACAATGAAGTAATTACAGCCATAGAAGTGGAAAGAAAGATGTGAACATGAGAGGGGTTGATTTCCTGAGGATAAATTTAACAAAACTACAGCAGAAGACTGCTCAAAAGGTAATGAGCTGTGTACAGAATGACTCAACTGAGGGTAAAATTTAAAAAAAAATGGTGGTAAAAGTGATGTTTATCAAATTGATTCAGTAGCCTGACCAGATGCTTTTATGGGTGAAGCCCATTGCCAGGAAGGGAAGGAAGGCTGTGGAACAGCTTTGGTTTATGGAGTCAAGGGAAGAGAGTGCACACATTCACAATGGGTTAGATAATATACCAGGGACTATCCTAAATAACTATTGAAAAGGAGTAGAGTTATTAATGAAGCTTCATCAATTTGGTAACAATTTGTTGCTGAATATGGTCAAAAACTTGCTTTTTATAAGATTTCATATATGCAGGTAAAGTTGGTATATAGATCTGGAAAAAAACACACCCTTCCTAATTCATATAACCTCATCTCCTTTATTTCAGAAGTGGGTAGATAATACTGACTTTCACAAAGTAGTATGAATATAGCTTCCAAAGTTTATTTCAAGAGCTCAGAAGTAGAGTTGAGGCAATAAGAAAGATAGAGGATAGAATGAGTGATGTGTTCCTGGATCTCTGTGTTAGAACGAGATGAAAAGAATGATTAAAAATAAATCACAAAGGATGGCAGTCCAGGGAGCTCTGATAGAAAATATCAGAGGTAAAGACTGGCATCTGAACTTGCAGGCCTTGCTGCTTGTACTACTTGTTTCGTGGTGTTGTGACAACTCTATTCCTATTTAACATTTTGTCTCTTTCTCTGTAAGGTTTTGAGAGCACTAACCTCACATATCTTAATTCTTCACAGTGCCCAGCAAAATCCAACCAACAAATGATATGGCCAGCTTGCATTTATTGAATAAATAATGAAAGAGAAAAAAAAAAAAAAAAGAGGAAAGAGAGAAAACAGCAAAACAAGCTAAGTTTGGTTTCCATGAAATGAACTTTCAGTTATATCTCCCAAATCTGACTTATAGAAGAGTGAAATTCAAATTGTACTAGTTTCAGAGATTAATTATTTGAAATGAGAGAAACTAATTTACATTGCTTATAATCTAGGACCATACATTTGAAAGCAAAATCAAGTCTTATGAAGAAGTTGAAAAAGATGCAAAGTACATTGATGTCAACTTTTGTTTTATTCCTAATTTTTTTTGATTAACTAACTCGTAAAAGAACCATCATTAGTTACACAATAGGTATTAATTCTCACTTCTAGGTCAAATGGGTACCTTGGAAGAGACAGGAAAAACCTCTGTGGTATGAAATAATAGAAGGCACAGAATATAATTATAAATATAAAAGAAAAATAACACACTTCTCATTTTACCCCCAGAATTTTCTGGGAAGTAGTGCAGTCAGATAAAATTGAGAATACTCACCTATTACCCATTGATCACAGTCGTAATAGTAAAAACGGGAGGCCTGCTAGATTACACTTTACACTGATTCAGTAGGGGGACTCTGGGACAAAGTAAGCTCATGCGTTCAACAGGCAGGGAGCACCACTGTGGGCTCCTTGGTTTCCAATTTAACTCTGATCAATGGGATCTGAGACACACAATGCCTGACTATATTCTCACTGCCTTGGAAAGAGAGAAGAGCATGTCATTCTGTAGGGAAAGGACCAGGTGCTTTTACAGAGAGCAGTTTTGTTTCTGAAATGAGGGAAGTTGACAAGGAACTCTGCTTTTCATGAATTTCAGTACAACAGCAGCTGCCCAAAGTCATATGGAGGAGGTGAAGGGGAAGATAACCCATTTGTGATGACACTAATGTGTGCCACAGGGCACATGGCTCACCGATGAGCCCAATTTGGTCAGTTGCTGTTGCTCCTTCATGCACATAAGATGCTTGCAACCTTAGATTTTACAAGAAGATTATATAAATGTAAAAAGGGTGAAAAGAACTAACAGTGATAAATAAGTGATGAGCCCTGTCAGATGTTTCCTTTACTAAAGCTCAGTCCCACAAATTATACAGGACATATGTTGTTTTCACTTATAAGAACCCATCTATTCATTTACTTAAGAAATATTTATAAAGTAGCTATACTTTGTCAAATACACTGGTAGTTTCTTGAGACCCAAAGATTAATACAACATGATCCTTGTCTTCAAGAGGCTCGCAACTTTGAAAGGGGGAACAGATTTTTCTAACAAATAATTAAAATTTGGGGTAATATGTACCATAATGAAAATATGTACTGTTAGATGTAGTAGTTTATTTCTTGGATGATCTGAAAGAGGATCAAAGAAAGAGGGACTCTGAAACAGAATTTTAAAGGATAAATGGGAATTTTTTCAGATGAAAAAGAGTGGAGGAAGGGCAAATAAAATCGTGAAGAAAAGCCGGGAGCTTTGAAACAGGGATGGTGCATTTGGGAACAGGCAGTTGCTCAATATTGCTGGGTGCAAGTGTGAGTGGAGACACTTCAGAGATTAACAGGCATCAAATCTAGAAAGCGATCCTTGTCATGTTTAGACAATACAGGGCTTTCCAGTCGAGGCTAGATGCCATCCAAGGTTTAAGTAGGAAATTGATGTATAGAGATTCAGGTTTAAGAAACAACTCCAGCATGGTGAATGGAAGGAAGACTGGGTAGGTAGGAAGGTAGGGGTGGGAGCACATGACTAAGGCAAGAGTCCAGTGAGTTGGATACTTCTGTGCTTCAGGAGTGAGACTCATGTCTTGCATTAAAGCATTGATTTGAGAGAGATTTAGAAGACACATTTGATAGGACTTGGTGACTGCCAGACCACATAGAGAATGGCAGACGAGAGGACCTCAGCTTTTTCTGTCCCATATTAGGAAATAATCTTTTGCCCCCATGGCATTAATGAATTTGTAGGAGGTGAAGTCACCAAGTCACCCTTCTTCAGAATGGTCATTAAAAGAGGGTTGCACCGCTGGACAGGGATGGTTCCAACTCTTTGCCCCCATGTATGGGGAAGGATGAAATAACAGTAAACCAATTCGGGAACCAGTAAGAAATAAAGAATAAATCCAAAGGTAGGGCACAGGGTGTTAGAATAAATGTGAACTATATTTTGGCATAGTGAAATGAATTCACACTGAAATATCACATCCTCAAGTTACTTCCTTCGTGGCACACCTTTCATCCAACAGCATACATAATAAATGCATATTACTATTACACATGACATATCAGAAATTTTAAAGGCAGAAGCTGAAACTAATGGTGCCTTACATTTGTATAACTTATTAAAGATTATAAAATGCTTTTCCCTGTAACTTTGTGAGGAAGTCAAAAAGATACTACATTCTCAAGTTATAGCTAAGGAACTTAAGACTCAAGAAGGTAAAGTGGCTGCCTAAAAACCCTAAGGTATTTTCTGGCATGACAAGACATTGAATTCTCTTTTTTCTGTTAATTATTAAATCCCTAAGCTAGTATAGATTCCATTTACCAGTAATCTTGTTCCAGATGCTACTGTTCAACGCAAATTAAGTTGTTCTGAAATTGGTAAACTGAAAACAGTAAATAGGACTTGGTGATTAACGGGCCAAAAGGAGGATGGAGAAGGGTCACAGCTCTCTCAAACCTCACTGGGAAGTTCCTTTGTGTATTATTTCTTAATGGAATCTTCCTGTTTTAGGACATTGTTATACTGGAAATAATCAGGGAGATTAAAAGAATTCCCAGTGTCCGTATATATGTAAACCAGACACATAGAAACACACCAAGTCACACACTGATTCACAGTCTCGTGACTTAAATCCACAGAAGTGGGACAATGTTTTTGGAAACGTCTGGCTCTGCTTTGTTTTGCTCCACTTTAGCAAACACTTAAGCAGACTTTGGGTTTAATATGATGACAGCATTACCATGCTTTATTTTCCTACATTTTGCTCCAGGTGAAAGACAAGAGAATGCTGCGTTCAGCAATCCCCAACTGCTACACTCCCTGAAGTTAATAACCACAATGAAGGCCATTTCAAGCTACTTTCCTCCTTTAATTGATTTATTGGTGGCATATAAATGCCTGTTTCCATTTCTGTTAATGAGGAAGGCCTTTGATACTACTTTCTCAGATTTACATTCTAGTCCTAATCTTTGGCAATATAATAAAAAAGTATTCAGAGCTCTTTCCTGAGGCAAAATATAATTGCATTTGATTTTACTTCCTAGTCCTTTATCTAGATGAGCCCGTGACAGTACAAAAATGCTGTTACTAAAATACAAGGTTATAATGACTTTCTGACTTTGTCTTTTACTTTGCACGTCATCTTCTACTCTTGGAACTGGTGTCTTATTATTATTTTTTTTGGAGAGAGGTGCATGAGCTCACTACTTTAGTGTAGCGACCAGCTAGATGGGTTATCCAGGATTTGGTTTCCCTTATCAAGTGTCCAGCATAGTAGTTCTCAGCTATGACTGCCCCTCAGACTAGCCTGGAGACCTAATCAAAAATGCAAGTACCTGGAGCTACTGAATCTGGAGTTGGACCTGAGCATTCATACTAAGAGCTTCTTGAATGGGGGAAAGTTAAAAGCGTTCCCCCTGGGAACTGAAACTAAATAAAGGATGCCCACTTTCACCACTTCTATTCAACATAGTACTGAAAGACCTGGCCAGAGCAATCAGACAAGAGAAACAAATAAAGAGCATACAAATTGGAAAAGAGGAAATCAAACTGTTGTTCTTCACTAATGATGTGATTGCACACCTAGGAGGCCCTAAA